TCTCATACTTCATTAGCATCTGTCTGCTTTCACGTATTTTTGACTAGTTTTAGAAACACAACCCCCTCTCTTTACCCTCACCTTTTCCCGCTCAGCTAAATTTTGCCGTTGCGAGTTACTCGTTATCAAGCAAGCAAACAAAGCAAAGCTCGGAAAGACACGTGATACTTTTATGAATCACAATCTGCTCAAGATTCTTGTTGTTTGTTAGAAATACAATGCATTTACACGTGTTAAAACAAAGTACTGATCATTTATTTGACAATCGTTAACATCCATCTTGCATTGCGTGTCCTAAGAACTACATCAACCAACGACTGTGGATTAGGGCGCAATAAATAAGAAGAAACTCGGGCTCACATACTCGTTAATGTTCAAGAAACATCAGGAATTAGAGTCCCGGAAACTATGAAATACAAATTCCAAGTTATTCTCATTCGTTATCATTCCGTACTTTTTATTACTCGTCCATCTTTCATCACAGTGCCGTTTGAAAATTTCAAACAGCGCGCCAAAAAATACTACTGTTCAATTCAGCAGACACGCACTAACACAATACTGGTATACTGCTTCAAAACAGCATCAATGCGACGTACAGCCATGTGCAACCCTAGTGCGACCGATTCTAGTGTATCACGAAATTGGTGAAATGAGAATTGCACTAAAATTGTACGGATACCATGATAAGCCTGTGTGGTAAAATCGACGTACGTAATTAATATATGTATAGTGAAAAAGAAATTAATGTAAATTAAAAAAAAATGGGAAAAGAGATATCGAAATTAATGTAGGGTGGAAACAGAAAGTTCATACGTATCATACGCACTTTTCCATATACTCTTGTTTTATTAAAAAAATTCGTTCGTTATTGCCGCGCCCGTGTGCCACGTTCTTGACGAGAACGTAGGAGTAAAACAAAAGTTACATGCAAGAGTAACTAAACAATTCATTAAATATTAGAATGAAATGAAAGCAATTAACCGTTAGTTACATTCACAAGAGAAGTTTCCCCTACTCGACGAACTCATGCTCGTCTTATGATTGAATTTCCCCTTCAAGATATATTTTCAGATTTTAAAAGTAATGTGATCATATAGAAAGTGCTAAAAAATGTATTTGAGAATTACGAAAAGCAAAATAATAATGTCCAAAGTATTGTCTTTATTTTAATCTACCTTACCGAAGTCAATTTTGTTTGTACAAATAATTTGTGTAAAACTGTAATAACGACTCACGAATAAAGACACCAGAAAGATTTCTATTGATCCACAGCAATTTACAGCGTCGTACGTACATCAGGCAACGAAAAGAATCCTGCAGGAGTGCTCGCTATGTGAATCATATTTTATTATTACTTATTTCGAAATACCTCCGAGTTTTATAATACACCTACGTAGCCATGAAGAATGCACAAGCCGAACATTCAAGCTATCGAAGTGTGGAAAGGAATATCTATAGTGAATAAAAGAATGTTAAGATTATGGAATGTGTGCGTTGAAGTTTACATTGATTTCATGATTTTCTAGATTTCATCGAGCATAAGTTGATTTGGATTTATCTAAAAATACCGAAATTTCGAAAATGAATATTTGGCGATTTACATTGATTTAATGATTTTTTTGAGCTGGTTTTCACAGGAATGGATATTATTATTTTCTAAGATAAAATTAAACATATGATGAAATAAATATTCTAGGCAGGTAATGAAGTTATTTCATTCCATTCAGTATGGGGACTAGGCATCTCATGTAATATTCATGATTATAGGGATCAGAAATCACAAACTTGCCAATTCCTTTATCGTCTCATGAAAACGTTAATTTTTTGGGTTTAAATTACATGTAAAATAGTATTTGTGAACTTACCGCAATACGGAGAGTATTTAACAATCGGTTGCACGTACACAGCTACCAATATACGAACGATCAATTATCAAAGACGACAAATTTGCAGTAATGGTTACTCGCTCGCGGCGCGCTCGGAACTGAGGACGGACACGAACTGCGGGCGGCGCTTTTCGACTTTCGACGCTGGCGGGTAGAACTCGACTGAAGGAAAGCAAGTGGGGTGCGTACCACCGGAAAAAGAGGCACGCATGGCATTTTCCGATGTTACGAAACAATACGAGAAGAGCAATCAATGTCTAGACTTCATTTCCAGGAAACCACTTTTTTCAATCAGACTTTGTTTGGATCGCATCCACGTATGAAGTAACTT